TTTCATTGCCAGTAGTGACGGTGGCTTTTTACTTGGAAGTGTGTGAACAAATACTGAATAAATAAAGCAGTTCATGATATGTATGGTATTGTTTTCGTCAACGGCGCCACCCTGACGGAAATGGAATGCTCTTGTCTGAAGTTCTGCGATTCTAGCCAGGAGAAGAGATTCTTCTATCGAGAGACTTTGAAAAAAATTGCCCTCACATTTTAATTGGATGGATTTCTGGGATCATAGCTTACGCTAATCAGGACTTGTCGCATGGACCTTACCCTACCACTCTATCTTGAAATTCCAGTTGAATGAATTCTTTGAATTTTCAGCCGAATTATTTTGAGTTCTGTGGCAAAAGGTCAACGTGCTGAAATGGTGGGTGCAGAAATCAAAGCAACGTAGGCAGGACGACACTGAAGACTCGATGAATCGCGCATTCTCGTTCTCTGGAGCTCCACTTTTGAACTCCTGCCTTGTTTTGAAATGGTCTGGCCGGCCGGACCATAACGCCAGCTAGCTATAAGCATTGCTGATGGTTTTGGGTTGAAATTACGCATGTAAAAAAACTACGCGTGCTTGAAGTGCGTACGCAATGGCAAACAGGGGCGTAGTTTCACAAAATGAGTTGGCTGAACGGTGAAAAATGATCCAACCTATCCCGAACTTGTGCGAACAAAAATGTTTCTCCCCAAATTTTGCCCACTTTCCTAACGAAATTGGGGCTGCAGCCCTCCCCCCGAACTGAATAGGAAAATATACCCCCGACCGTAGGCAAATTTAGGTTGGGTGTGCAGTTCGTATGACGGAAGTACGTACGCAAAAGTTCTTAAGCAGATGGATCTTTGTATCGCTGTAAAGTACGTACGGAACGTGTCCGTATTGAACAAAAATTCCGTCAGGACAAAAGTTCGTATGAAAAATATACACGAAGTGGAACCACACTTCTTCATTAACAATTGAACATAAGCAAATGTTGAGCCGGGTCAAGTTGGCCTGTTGACAGAAATGCGCACTTGAATGTCCGTGCGCAGCACAGGCGTGGTAGCGGGGCTGTGGATGCACTGCAGCTTCAGAAAATGTTGACCATTTAGCCTATGGAATGTTGAATGTTAAGAATGTTGGCCATTTAGCCTATGGAATGTTCAGAATGTTAAGAATGTTGATTATTTAGCCTATGGAAAGTTGAATGTTAAGAATGTTGGCCATTCAGTCTATGGAATGTTCGGAATGTTAAGAATATTGATCATTTAGCCTATGGAATGTTGAATGTTAAGAATGTTGGCCATTTAGCCTATGGAATGTTCGGAATGTTAAGAATGCTGATCATTTAGCCTATGGAATGTTGAATGTTAAGAATGTTGGTCATTTAGCCTATGGAATATTGAATGTTAAGAATGTTGGCCATTTAGTCCATGGAATGTTCGGAATGTTAAGAATGTTGATCATTTAGCCTATGGAATGTTGAATGTTAAGAATGTTGGTCATTTAGCCTATGGAATGTTGAATGTTAAGAATGTTGATCATTTAGCCTGTGGAATGTTCGGAATGTTAAGAATGTTGGTCATTTAGGCTATAGGTGATGCATGGAGAAAGTTGACTTTGTGATGGTGGACAACCACCTCACGGCCGCTTGGCCACTTGCCACCTTACGACCCCTGTTAGGCGCTGGCCCCTAACCAGCGCGGGAGCCCCTCATTGTGTCCGAACTTTGAACACTGTAAATCGCAGGGCACGGCCCCGTTCCTGCTTGGGAGATGGGTCTGAATGGATGAGACGGACTTACACCTACGGACTTGTTTGGCTCCATGCAGAGGCCATATATAATCGGGATAGATAACCGCAATCAGAGAACCCTCATAGAAGCCATCTGATATTTCAGGTCACGGCACTACGGGTAGGGGTCTGGGCTCGAGTCCGATGGGCCCTTGACCTTTGGTCCCGAAAGGCCCTCCTACCCCTCAAACAAAGCCCGTGGCCGACTAGAGACTTCTAGCAGAGACATGATCTCCTGTTATGCACTGTGAACCCCTGACCGGCACAGGGGCCCGAACCACTGCTTCAGGGACCTAGACCAATGCAAATTGGGGCCCCCAGTCTTGCTCCATCTTTGGAAATGAGCCTCCAGGGCTCAGACTGACAGAGAGCCAGCTGGTGCACGCGGCCTCTGGCCGACCACGACACGCGTATTATACCAGGCGTCCTTAAACGGTGCAGGAGGACCACTGACTGATATTGCAGGTCGCGGCCCTATGGCCGCGATATATTATGTGACCTACAACCAGTCCTTTCGGCCCTGATGCCTTCCAACTGGGCCTTTGGTAGTCGATTTCGTTGGGCCACCCGGGCGCCTTTTCGGGTGTCATCAAATACTGCTCTTGGTCGGCTCGGGGTCTCTTGCGAGCGCAGGACCCTCTGTAAGGCGCTGTGGGCCCTGATAGATACTGGGGCCCCGACCAGTGTAAGCCACTGACCCCAGCTTTAAAGCTGAGTGGAAGTGGACCCTCAGGCCCATACCGATACGGAGCAAACTGTGCGGCACTGGTGGTGCCTGACCGACATATAGACCCATATCTACTCGGGGTACTCTTATCGGCGCAAAGGGCCCTCTGTCATCTGCGTGTCCATCCCCGCAAGCCGGAGCTTGTTAATAGGGCCCCGACCAGCCCTTCGTGTCTCTAGACCCTCCAATCGAGCCCTCGGTCGTCGGACCCGGTGGGCCCTCCAGGCCTCTCCGGGCCTCCTTAAACACTGCCTCTAGCCAACTTGGGGCCTCTTGCCGGCACAGTTGTGGGGCACAACCAATGTAAATTGCTGGCTCCGGCTTTATCCCTGCTTGGGAAACGGGCCCTCATTCCCATCCCGCCGCGGAGCCGGCTGTACGTTCCTGGTGGTGTCTGATCGACATGCAAGCCCTTATTGACATCAGAGGCCCAAGATCAGCGCGCAGCGCCCTCTGACTGCCGTTGGGGTGACCGGCCCTGCGGGTCGGGAGCACGACCTCTAGCCGGCCTTTCGGGTCCTTCGGGCTCTCAAATCGGACACTTCATCGTAGATCCCGAGTGGCCCTTCTGCCCCCCCCCCCCCCCCTCCCCCGCCTGCGCTACTGCTGGCGCGTCTGCCCGCCGTATTCCACAAGCGGATTGACTCGTCGCTTCGTCATCTGGCGTCAGGGGCCTCAAGGGCCTCTCAAGGGCGCGCTCAAGGACCTCAGGCGAGGTCACCAAGGGCATCGACAGAGACGGCCGTCAGGATGAGAGATTACTGGGGGGAGGGGGGAGGGGGCAACAAACTCGGCGGGCGGTCTGGCCGTGGACGTGTCAGAAAAAAATATCCAGCTCCCTGAATCTCCAGGGCCATCATGCGGAACCAAAAATGACTAGGAGCTAATTTGCTGGTCGTCGTCTGAGAGCGTCAAGTTCATGGCATGGAAAGTTGTGTTAGGCATCACACGTGACCTGACCTAAGCAATTGTCGCTGTCCACCTCCATCTCCTACCCCCCCCCCCCCCCCCTCCCCGTCCAGTCGACGGGATGTGGTATTCCCGCAGCAGCCATTCACCCGGCGCATGATACCGATAATCAAGATCTGCATTCCAGCACTCAGTACACATCTGCGTACGGACTTTGTTCGCTTGCTTTTGTCATATGAGCTTCATTCCTGACGAGCATTTTTCGTGTAAACTTTGCGTACTTACACCACATATCAAAATACGACCATGGCTTAGGTCGCGTTCTTGTACGCTCTTTGTGTGAAACCAAAGTTTCCTTCAACCAACATTCGCGCCCGAGCAATAGTGCAAACTATTGCTCGCGACCTTTTTCCATTTCTGCGAGCACGAACATGTGTGTTGCGAACTCCTTCCTAACGAACATTTTACGATGCGATCTTGATCCGTGTGCGTACTTTTATCATGAAAAACTTTTGCCGTTGCATTCTTTTTACGTACTTTTCCGGACGAACATGAGGCGCATGCCGCACATGATCTTTCGAACAATTTTCATAGTACTTTTCTATACGTACTTCTAGTTTGTTGGCAGCGTTTGCTGATACGCAGGGGCGAAGAGCCATACTTGAGGCCGCAGGTTGGGATGTTTAAAGGGTGGCCCGAGCTCACTAAGAAGTCATTATGCGGATATTAAACATAAAATTCAGCTGTCAGAGATGCCCGAAGCAGGAACGAATTATTTCTGAAAATGCGTTCGGTGATGAGGAGTAAAACATGACGTGACCTACCCCAAACATGCCAAAAAACGGGCGGCTTCTCCCTGCAGTTGGCCTATCTTCTTTTCAAAGTTGGAGCGGGAAGGGCGGGGCGGGGGCGGGTGGAGCCCAAGTTCGTGGGGGGCGTAAAGCCCCCCCTTGTCTGAGCGACTAGGAAAATACACCCCTGGCCAGAGGCCATCTGCGGTGCTAATGCGCGGGCCTAGGGGCGGGGGCGAACTCCGCCCTCATCCTTGGCTGCGCCTGTACTGATACCTCATGAATATGCAATTAATTGCATCATTGATGCCTGCAGATAAATTATGACGTAAATTCCAAGCAGTTTCCAGCGTTTTCCGTCCTCCACTACTACTCGATTTCAACGCGACGCCAGCGCTATCATCGCTCCAGCATTACCACGGTCGCTAGTGTAGCAAATTTCCAATCAAATTTGGAAATAATTGATCATATCCTGATAGGTCATTCGTGGCGCAGTTGTTGCGACTATGGCTCTATTGTGCTGCCCTTCAGTACCGATGTGAGAAATCTACTAGGAGAAATGGTACACTTAGATGCCGTTCATTATTTTCTCCTAATCTTTTGACAAGTTTTCGCTAAAAATCAATGATATTATTTTGAAAGGGCAGCCTATCCAATTATTTTACTATTTTCATCATCTACATTTAACAATTTTCAGAAGGTAAAGTTATTGAAAATTCGAATATTCTTGAAAATGTACGGAGATATGGTATATAATTTGGGAGAAACATGCTAAACCAAAACATCACTGAATTCGATGTCCTGGGTACACTGGACGTTGTTCTCCAATCATTCACAACAACATCACGACGTTGGGTAGTTATGGTAAAGTGAAATACCATTACGTTGCCCACTGACACTGGTTCTGACATCCTGCTGGCGTAGCTCACAGCCTGCCCTGCTTGTTTTGGGTAAGTGAATGCGTTGTTGAGGAGCCCTCGGTATGCCATGCGCGGGCTGCCTGACCAGATTATGGGCGTAAGAAAAACATGGCATTTGTTCATGGAATCGGGGCTAGTTCGGCACCGAGGTTATGCAGATAAATACATATTCCGCTTGGTTGTATTTTTATGGCTCCTCATTTCAAACATTTTGTTCATGTAATGGTGATTGCTATGAATGCTTCTGCATGTCTCAAACAGCGTAGGTCTGTATATGCTTGTCAATTAGAATGGTGTATGGTGTGTTTGTGAGTAAAGTATTTTCATTATCTTTGAAATAAGAGTTTTCTGTTTTCTAAGCCTATGTATACCACATTCATAGAGGCCTATTAACTCTGAACTTTAAGTCAGAAGAAATTACCTCTGGATCTGGATAGTTGATGGTTGACTTTCACCTTCTTGTGTGTCTCACTTGCACATACATTTTTGTCAAGTTGCCAGTATTGAAATGTCCAGAAATGTTTGTAGCAATAGGTACTTCTGTGAAGGACACAGCACAGGTGATTTCAGTAGTAACAATTTCAACCAAAACAGTGAATCAAACAGTGATTTAACTTGGAACATGTAGTTAAGCAAGTTCTTGCAGGATGATCTGGAAATAAGGTTATCTTGCTTAGTAATATAATAAGGGTATAATACAACTTTCATTCAGGGTCATCTGAAATCTTGGCTTACATTATTGGTTAGATAAGCCTATGTATGCATAATGAAGAGAAAATTTATTTTCCTTAATGTTTAGTGCATGGTTGTCACTATTGTCACATATAAAATTACTAATTTCCCCAGGATAGATGTATCATAGGTTTTCAGTAAAAACTATACCTGCCAGTACACTATACAGAGTACCTGTATGGTGGGCTCAGGCCTTCCACATCCTGGTTGTGTATACTGTAATCTGGTGACTACCATGATATGGGATACATGTTATGCAATAATGAACTATGCTTTTTTTTTACTTGAAGGTCCTTTGTGTAGCATAGTATGTATCTTATTGATATGGTAGCTATTTATATTGACTACCTTAAATCAATTTGATTTTCCTGACCTATGCCTGCAATCATGGAAGCTTTTTTGCACATGATGGCATGTGATAATGGAGGCCATCTTGTGGTAGGCTGATGTTCACCAATTCTAGTGCTGTGTTCAGCTAGTGCATTCTGTGGTATCATTGGGATGTCTTGGAAGTGGAGGTTATTGTTCATGGTCAAGTGATATCAGTAGGTGTCCAAAGATTCAGTCTAATTTTGTTGGAAATATGTGGCATGGAATCACAGAAAATGTGGTTTGACTAGCTAATTGGAGCAGGGTGAAGCCAAGCCCTCTCTTCAGGAGCTTGCTAAGTGGAGGATGTAAGTCAGCCCTCTCAATCACAGTTAGGCTGGGCTGTGGATTTTTCAAAATGTTGTGGTTGTTTATGGACTTCTATCTACTAGCTAAATATATCTACCATATAGTTGCAAGTTAGCATGGGAAGACCATCCCAAATCATAAGTTATTTTAGCCTGGCCAGGGTTACTTGCAAGAAATGCACATAATATGCTTACCTCACTTTTCTGGAGTTTAATGATCTTGATCCAGGTGACTTTGATTGAACAGCCTGTAGTTGGTTTTATATGCTTGCTCATTGTGAATGGAAGTATTATGAAACAGTTTCAAGTTTTGGGTTTTAAACACTTGCTCAATGCTGACATGAAAAACAGTTGTTACCAAGATCATTGTGAAACTCTGTCGAGAAGCGCTAGCTGTAGGGATAGCTGGTGTAAGGACAGTAGCAGTGGTGTGCCAACAGGAGCTTTGTTTCACACATGATTTAACACCAGGTATTTCCTTTGAAGCCTTTAGGAATTTAAGTCCTAGGCCTGAACAGTCCTGGTATCCATAGAGTCCCTGGACTAATGTGCAAATGTCCAGATAAATTTGCCATCACATATCTCCATGCAAAGTTATGGAGTAATTGGGAATACAAATCAGAGCACACATGTAATGCACAAGCAATACATGTAGTCTACAGTACAAAGTATTTGCTCATTTCCTCTCCACAACACCAAGATCTCAGCTCCATATCCCTTGAAATCCTGCAACTCCATCCTAGCATGCATGCCATCTTTGCTGTGTTGTATGCTCAAAGCTGCTACCACAACTTCAGTCAAGCACTTTAATCATGCAGTCAGGTACACTATGTTGTGTGCTCAAAGTCACCACCACAACTTCAGTCAGGTACTCTTATCCATTAATACAGGTACCTAGGAGCCATTCTACAACTACTACTACTACACTAACACCTGATATGGTGACACACTGCAGACATTTTGCTGCGGTGCAAGGCTGCAAAAATCAGGCATGCCATGTATCACAACTCTCATGAACATGAATATCACTGCATGTAGTTGAGGGGTAAGTCCTCCACCACACCCCCCACTGCATTCATAAACACATTCAATGAATGAAGGTCAAAAGGTTACTCTGTGCTTGCATGCAATGCTTACCTGCATGCTATAGGAGTTGATACCCAAAGCCACATATTTATCATATGCCATCCCTTTCTCTCTCCCTCACTAATCAGAAGACTAAAACCTGCTGCCACAATCTGAGCATTCATAATTGCATACCTTCCATACCACTCCAAGGACCCAAAGTCTATGCCAAGAATCATATGTGGAACATCAATGCATTGTTGAACCACACCTCTTGTTTGACAACACATGATTGCAACACATTATTTTATTATTACACCAACACAGCCAGTGTGAGGCTGCAGTCACAGTGGTCCCAGGCCGCTGGTGACAGGCTGAGGTCCGCCGCCTGTTACAACCCCACCGACCCTCAGCTCTGTCTCGACTGGCCAAAGGCCGTGGCGGCGTCCTGGGGGTCCCCACCTGTCACAACCCCGACGCTCACAGTCTGTCTCGACGGCCAGGCCGGGGCCGGCGTCCTGGGGTCCCCACCTGTCAAACAACAAACCCCGAGCCTCAGCCCGGTCTGGCCTGCGGGCCGTCTCGGGCCAGCGACGGCGCGCCCGCGGGCGCCCCGCCCTGGCCAAGCCCACCCCGTCCAGCGAGGTAACGCTCCTCGGAAATTCTGCGTTTCGGCCACCCAGAGTGCCTTTTATACCAGCTGTGATTTAAGTCCTGCTCAAGCGAGGCAGTCAGTTAGGGAAGTGAGGAGAGTATGGCGCGTGGTGACCAGGTTCAGGCGAGCAATGCAGCAGTCGGTTTATCGGTGCTGCTATCGGAATTCCAGCGGCAGCTGCGGACGTGGCAAGACCGTTCGAAGACCAGGACCGTGATAAGCTTTGCAAATGTGTAAATGTAGTAGTAGCAGCGACTGGTGGGGGTGTATTTCCACCAGCCGCGTCATTGGCACAGTTGAACACACTGCTTGGTTCGCAACGCCCAAAGGTACGCAGTGACGTTGATGCCCCTTCATATCTGAATATTTGCAGATTGAAGTGGGAGTGACTCATACCGCATGCCTGGTCACACTGTCGCCAGCATACCGAACTGAAGTGGGTCCAGGGTGACGCAGACGAGTGCGTGGCGTCCTGTGCGGGACTCGAGCGACGTCTCTGTCCGCAGGCCTCTCTCAGGACAGCCATGGCGGACAATGAAGGCAACTCGCCGTACACCCAGCATCGCCCCGGCTTCTTCGGACCCACGGGTACGGTCGTGGCGAGGCAGATGATGGCCTCTGACTTGCACCTGCCGCCGCTCGCCAACGCTGCGCGCCTGTGCGATGTATAGCGGGCTGCAGGGGTCATGCAGTATGCTGATGGTTTGGTCGCCGTGGTGAAGGGATTGGGGGAGGCTGGGCTCCAAGCGTTATCTTGCTGTTCTGTGGGAGAGATCGTTGCCATCAAATATATCTGGCAGTTCCCGAATACGAAGGCCATCGTTAGCCCAACCACGTTCTCAGCTCATACCATGCATTGCTGCCTGTATTACATCTTGAAGTACTTGACGCGCCATCTGTATTGTAATTTGTTAGCAGTGCTCGCGGCGTATGTCGTCGCAGAAGTAATCTAGCGAGTTGTTCAGCTGGCAGCTCAGCCTACGCTCAGGGACTCTTTCCTTTGTCCGAAGTGCTACGCCGTGGGCCGTCTTTTGGTGTGATGCGTTGTGTTGCGATTATGGCCTCATGATCGAACTCTTTTCGAAGCACAGCTTGCTGAACTGGCCTTGACCTCGCTAAGTCAGCACTGCTCTTCAGCCATATATCATTGACGGAATTAACGCACCGTGCAACGTTGTGATGCGACCGCCTCGTACCAGTTGAACCTCATGAACAGCTGCCATCGACTATCGGATTGGTTACCGAAGCGTGTTTTTTCCGTGGAAGCCAACCCACATGCCTGTGAGATGTGGCCATAGCGGAGTCGGGGCGTCCTAGGATGTTCCGGCTTTCTGTCGGCTGCGCTGCGAGAACGCCGCCTTCACAGCGTCTGTACTGGACTTTCCAGGCAGCTGCACAGAGAAGCGCAACCGGCTGAAGCTCTCGTTCAACACCTCGCTGTCGAGGCAGACGCCCATGCTGCCCCATCCGGTCCCCACCACGGTGTAAGTGGACGCTCAGAGCGCTGGAGACTTCTGGCTCCGGCAGTGTCGGCTCATTTGATAAGCTGATGAAAAGGTCAAGTGGCTATTCACGTGGTTATGGCCTTTATGTGTCGTGTGGAACTGCTCAAATGAGCAGCGGGGCGCTATTTCGCGCCACATAAGCGCGCCATTTCGAACTCGGTGATGTTAATCGGGAGATGATGCGAGGATGTATGGTCCGTTTCTGACTGCTTTACTTGCTGTTTAGAGCTGATCGTTTCGGTCGTAATCTCTCATTCTGAGACGCAAGCTGCTGCTGAAGTGATATGCATGTGACTAAACACGAACGATGTCTTCGCTTTCAGGCTGATTATTTTGGTCGTAATCTCTCATTCTGAGGCGCAAGCTGCTGCTGAAGTGATATGTACGTGACTAAACACGAACGATGTCTTCGCTTTCAGGCTGCGTGAAAAGCATTTCGTGCCGAAGAGTATAGCGCAGTCGGGCATGATGAAAATAGCGCCTAACCAGGTAGGCATTCGCCAAGTGGGGGGTGGCGCGTGCGTGTATAAATTACAACGGCGTGCGTATAGATTGCAGCCATCAGCGTGCTGGATGAAGCCCGCAGTCGTTGCTAGCCTGCCCACCCACGTGATGGGTGGAGGGTACGGGCCGCGCGTCGGCTGTGGACCGTGCCTCCGGTCAGTTTGCCCACGACATTGGCGATGCATCCATATCAAGTTAAAGCCCCGAATCTCGACATAGTTGCGGCTGGCGTGGCGTGTGCGGCCTATCCGCACAATCAGCCGCATGATGTCATGATGTCATGATGTCGATCCATTTACGCTGAGGTCATACCTCGGCTCGGTGTGGCCCGTCGTGCGGAACCTGAACCCGAGCGGCCCGTGTTCCGTGTGGTGGGGTGCTGTGTTAGGTTTGTCCGAGGGTCGCGGGTTAGATAGCACTGAGGCTCAAAGATCACCGACCGAGGCTCCTTGATCAGTGATCTCCAAATCAGTGGCACACGCTAGTTCATCGAATGCGCAGAGGAATAGCGACGGTTGATACAATTGGGACGATCAGTGATTTAGAGATCAGTGACAGGATGTCAATGGATCACGGAAAGTGACAAATCGGTAAAATTAGACGAGTTACGAAATAATCAGTGGATGGCAACCATATCAGGTGATCGTACCTCTGCTCCCTTGTGTTCCGCGCTTGGATACCCGACTACTCACCGTCTACCCCGGCATGTTCTGTGCTGGATATGTCACACACCCGGCGCCACGCAACTGTGTGTTGTCGCTAGTGGGCTTGGTTAGTGCACGGCCCCTTGTTGACGCGCGTTGTTTGGCGGCTTGTACGCTAGATGGCGGCCAGGTGCTGACGTGCGTGATTCGGTGGCAGGTATACCAGTTTACGGCGGAGGACCTGGACAATTTGGGCGAGATCGGCTGCGGCAACTTCGGCACCGTCAACAAGATGTTCCACAGGGCGTCCGGCACCGCCATGGCTGTTAAAGTGGGTCCTGCAAATATTAACGGCGCGTAGCGTTGAGGGAGGGGGCGGGTGGGGGGGGGGGGGGGCGGAAGGTGTGGGGCCACGCTGGTTAGCCTGTTTACCTGGCTACTCTAGAATCTGGCTCTATGGGAATTGTAAATTGGTGCGTTTGTTGTAGAGAGACTTATTTGGATGCCTTGTTCGGGTGGGGGGAGGGGGGGAGGGGGAGGAGACTGCGGACCGCCAGCATAAGAGGACAGTCGTTGCTGCCCGGGGCACTGCAAGGCCGCCGGTCTTCGAACCCCCGAACTTGTGTGTGGGGTGCGTCGGCACGCCTTCTGTCCTCCCCTGTCCGGAGAGAGCCGGTCTGGTCAAACGTTCGGTCGTACCCGCATCTTCAGTGGTCACCTCCCCGGCCCTTGGAGACAATCAGCGCTGGCAGTCGGTCGGGTAGATTGGTCAGCAGCCGAGGCGTGCTGTTAGTGCGAGCTGCGAACCCCCCCCCCCCCCCCCCGGGCCTAATCGGACGCAGCGAGCCAACTCCGGGATCTGGCAACGTGCTTCGTGCGACCTGTCATGCTGGCGTATCTTACCGCTACGAAACGCAGCGCCCAACTTCCGCCCTGATGTGCCGTCCTTCAGAACGCGAACTGATTGGGGTATGACGCGACCCCATGCCGTTTCCGTAGTAAGGAATATAGAGCCTCGCTTAAAAAGTATTGGATTAGTATCGATGAGATGTAGCGATCAGTAGAAGTGTTCTGTTGCGTGATCAATGTATGACGTCCACCAAGCCTGGTCAAAAAAAATCTTGAAAATTTTAACTTCAGCTTTACATGCTAGTGTGTAGGAAACCGTGCTCCGTAACATTAAACATAACCAGTCGTGTACCTTGTCAGTTTTGAGGTCAATGGTATGCAGTTTTATGTGTTTTGAGCGTACATTTAGAATAGAGGGCTCCGTTAATGCAACAGTATCGACCCGTCTGCCGCGTTCCGCGGAATAGTCGGTTGCCGCCCACCACCCGCACCAGCCGGGGATCACCTCGCAGAGGTCCGAAAAAACCGTCGCTACTCAGAAATCAGAAATGCCAGGGACACTTTGTGTCAAAACGCGTGCCATGGGTGCCCCCCCCCCCCCCCCCCCCGTAGGCTAACGAAAATACGGGCGCGATTGCACGTCATGCCGGAGAGGCATCCTCAGAAAACCTTATGGGGGTCTCATCGACCCCCCCCCCCCTCATCAGGGCGAGGGTTAAGGTGTGCGCTGTGGTGTCGTCGGACGATCAGCTGTCTCGTTTGCTGATGCGACTCAGCCGCGCCTTCTCGATACGCGCCTTGAGTTTGCCCTGCGTGTTCGTGAGGCGCGTTATCTGACCGAACGGAAGTTCAGATGCCCGTACATACCGACATCGTGAGGTGTCATGACCCGCGTGAAACAGGACTTAGGAACATTGCTATAAATCGGTGGGTGCCAGTCACTACTCTTTTCACAACATATGCTACTTCCCAGTTCTGCCCGAAACGCACACATCCACACGCGTTCGCTGTCTGTCCGTCCGGTTGTCACTCATCGCTGTTCTGCTGTCGCTGTGTCTACAGAGGATTCGCTCTACAGTGGAGGAGGGCGAGCAGAAGAAGCTGCTGATGGACCTGGAGGTGGTCATGAAGTCCAATGACTGCCCCTATATAGTGCAGTTCTACGGAGCCATTTTCAAAGAGGTACGAAGGCGCTGTCCTGATCTGCTGTTCTCTGATATGAAGTAAGCGTGTTCATGTTCAGGTGTTCTGCAAAGAATGCGGTCTTAAGAACGCACGTTCCCCTGTTTGACACTTAGACGGGACATGTGGACGAGGAACCACTGTTGTGCAGTGTGTGGTGTCAGTTGGTGTTGTCAGTCAACAGCCCGTCAAGGCTTTCATGTTCGTTGAGCGCCATTATGTGCTTCTTGTATTTTTCGTTATCGTTCGCTCGAAGTGCTGAGGACTGATTGCACCTCTGATTTTTGCTCTTCGCTGACTTTGATTACATGTTTAGGTGTTCTATCCGAATGGCATGTTTGCCTGCTTGGCTGCCTCTTGCGCAGGGGAGCCCCCCCCCCCCCCCCCCCCCATTACCCCTTGGTTGATCTCCTGATCGACTACGCTTCGGACTCCGTTCTCTGTTGGTTGAGGTTGCCCCCGAATAGCCGTGCTCTTCTCCAACTGTCATCTTAATCGAACGCGTCCTCGATCGACTGCAGTGTGTCGATCAGGTGGCCTGGCCCGGTCAAACCTGCTTCTAACACGGGCGCCTCCGTGCCGGCCGGCCGGCTGCCGCTGGTCGGCGGCTCCCCGACCGACCACGCCCGGTGATGGCCGCCCTCCCCTGCGGCAGGGCGACTGCTGGATCTGCATGGAGCTGATGGACACGTCGCTGGACAAGTTCTACAAGTTCATCTACGAGCACGGCCGGTCGCGAATACCGGAGACTATTCTGGGCAAGATTACCGTGGCTGTGAGTAGGACGGAAGGGGAGGGGGCGGGGCGCTCGCCGGGCCGCGCCGGGTAGGCGCCGCACCCTCCCGGCGCGGCTGGTGCGCTGATAAAGATGGAGCGAGTGGTGGGTCAGGCGTCCGATTTGAAACATGGCGCTGGCGGGGGTAGTTCTGGTCAGGTGGTGAAGCTTGCGGTGAGTCAGGCGTCCGATTTAGGACACGGTGCTGGCGGGGGTAGTTCGGGTCAGGTGGTGAAGCGCGCGGCGGGTCAGGCGTCCGGTGTGGGACATGACGCTGACGGGGTTAGTTCGGGTCAGGTCGTGGGCTCCGCGGCTGTTGGCTCCGTGAACGTCCCTCTGTCATGTCTTGCCAGTGATGTAGATGCAGTTGGCCAGACGTTGTTGCCCTGTGTCAGCCAGGCAGCGGCACACACAGCGGGCCAGATGTAGCCACGTCTGTCAGGTGCCGTGCCGTCGTGTTCATTGGGTGAGGTAGCCTCGCACCCAGCACTGAAATCGCCGACACAGGGATCTCTGGGGTGGGATGCTGCTCCTCATCAACTGTACGACCTGGGAGCGGGATCTTGTCGTTGGGAGGATGTGTGAGATCCGGGATTCCCCTTGAGATCCAGGCGCGTGTGTTGATCGGCACGCGCGGCCCCGGGTGTTCTGAGATCCAACCGACGCGACTGCGCTCGCGCCGTCGCCGCTCAACGTCGCCAACCCGCCCGCCACTGACCGAGCCGCTGCCGGTACAGACGGTGAAGGCGCTGAACTACCTGAAGGAGCAGCTGAAGATCATCCACCGGGACGTCAAGCCGTCCAACATCCTGCTGGACCGGCGCGGCAACATCAAGCTGTGTGATTTCGGCATCTCCGGCCAGCTGGTGGACAGCATAGCCAAGACGCGCGACGCCGGTTGTCGACCCTACATGGCGGTGAGTGGCCTGTCGCCATGGCAACGCGTATTGGCAGCGGCGCGGTCGGCGTGGAAGCGGACAGGGCACTCTGATCGCCTCTTGCCAAGGTGATGTATCAAGTGAACTTGTATCTTGTGGTTTTGTCGTGATTTCGTTGATTGCACGATTTATTTTTCAGCAGCATGATCAGTTGAGAGGATGGCGCCTGTCAAAACAGGTTTCTTATTCATGTGTACCGTGACAAGCAAGACCCCGGTTTGGAGCGCATATGGATTGTAATTAATAATGCATCGATATTTTCCCCATCACGGACGGAACTGGCGGAAAGGCGCTGACGTTTGGCACCCAGGCACGTGTTTGCAACTGGCATTTCGGGGTTTGGTTGAGCTTGGCCCTGCCAAGATCCGGCAGGTTGGGTCATCGAGGCGGCCGGGCTGATTTGTTCGCCGTTTTTGAGTGGCTGTGGCCGACGCATGGAGAAAACACGTTACTTTTGGTGCGAAGATTGGCCGTGGTAAACCGCGCGATGGGCCTGTGCGGTTTTCAGGGCGCTGTAGCTCTTGGCTTAAACCACAGTGGGACGATTGATTCTGGCTTCTGAGAAGAAACATCAGCTGGTTCCCCTCTGTTTCTGGTGCACATGTGGGCCGCACGGTGTTGAGATCACTTACCGATTTATGGACGGTGCGTTCGCCTACAACGTGCCGATGGTTTCACGTCTCTACTTCCTCTGGCTGCCCAGCTGGAACATCAGTCTTAAAGCGTCTGAAAACGGGCGGGTCTGACGCTCGCACGCGAAGGCGCGGCACGGTCGGCAGTCGTGCTCATGAACCCATGCTTTTGTCATGCCATTCATTGTAAGTTTGTGTCCTCTTGCCACGGTAGCAGGTCGCCGAGATCTGAACCTGTTCCCGCCCCGCGCCCTTAAGCTTTTTGCGACTCGAAAATGTGCGGTCGCATGTCATTGGTAAAGGGCGGTGAAATGGGAGCGTCATCGCAACGCTGTAGAAATACGCCGTAGTATAACAAATTCTGCACTTCAGCCGATTTACGAATATTCACGCAGCTGTAAAAGAATTATGCCACTTGTTGCTAAAGACTCCGTGGAGGTACGATCAGTCGTTACAAATATGGAAGCCCGTCAAAAGCGACGTGGCGGAGTCGGACCGGGCTCGGCCGAACAGTCGCTGCTGCAGAATGTCCAATCAGTTGACGTTACCGCGCGCTCGGCCTCCCTCCCAGCTCGCTCCCCCAAAAAAGAATGTCAGGATTTCGTATCTAAGATTGGTTTGAGTCGCGTCGGGCGGCTATCCGGTGCACGTGTGGTCCTGGCCGTTGCGTCATCTCCGCCGCGGCTCCGTTGCTTACGTCCGTCTGGCGTCATCTGCCCGCGCGTTTGCCTTCGGCCGGACGACTCGCGTCTATCGAGCGCCTTCCAGCCGTCGGTATGACGTCACTTCGTCCGTCTGTCGTCACGCCGCGTATCTGATATTAGGCCGCCTGTCTGATATCACGCCGCCTGTCTGATGTCACGCCACCTGTCTGACGTCACGCCACCTGTCTGACGTCACGCCGCCTGTCTGACGTCACGCCGCCTGTCTGACGTCACGCCGCCTGTCTGTCGGCAGCCGGAGCGAATTGACCCGACCAAGACTCGCTTCTATGACGTGCGCTCGGACGTCTGGTCGCTGGGTGAGTGGTGTGCCGAGCGGCAGCCCCGCCGCCCCGCCGCCCCGCCGGCCAGCCGCCCCGCCGTCTCGCCGCCCCGCCGTCCCGCCGTCCCGCCGCCCCGCCGTCCCGCCGTCCCGTCGTCCCGTCGTCTCACCGTCTCGCCGCCCCGCCGCCCCGCCGTCTCGCCACCCCGCCGCCCCGCCGCCCCGCCGTCTTGGCACCTCGGCACCGCGTGATGGGCTGACGGTGCCCCCTGCCCGTGCTGTGGACGAGGCCGGGGCACGGGCGGGCGGACGACGCCCTCAGCGGTGGCTTCGTCGCGATAGCACTTTGTTGATTTGTTGATCGGGTGTTGCAATGGGTCGGGTTGCGCAACGCTGCGCACTGAGATAGATGTAGCGGGGCGAGAATCTCGGTCCGGCTGCTGGTGCTGAAAGATGTGTCGAACGTTGGGAAGGAGAACATTTTCCTGCCACATGTCTCCTGTTATGATAAATCAGTAGCACTGCACAGGTGTGGCGTTTTAAGATACCACCTCAGACAAAGAAACAGGAGAGGTGTCGTACTTTGCGCCATGCCCTTGGGCCTCGCCCAACCAATGTTGAAAATGTGCGCTTTCGCGAATGTCCCAACGAAGGTGTAATCTTACTACGCGCGATCTGTTGACAAAACTAACTTGTTCGTTCTTGCGTTTTCCGCCATGTTTAGAGGTCTCCGTCCATATTTTCACCCCATCATGTCCAGGACACTAAGATTCAGCCTCTGGAACGCAGGCTGCGCCCCAAAGACCACGCGCCTCGCGCAGGGCCACCCATTAAGAATCGCCACTGCCCTCCCTCCGCCGCCGCCGCCGCCGCCGCCGCCGCCGCCACCACCGCCGCCGCCGCTGCCCGGCGCTCTGACGTGACGCCCCGCCGACAGGCATCACGCTGTTCGAGCTGGCCACCGGCCAGTTCCCGTACCCGCGCTGGAACTCGGTGTTCGAGCAGCTGACGCAGGTGGTGTCGGGCGACCCGCCGCGGCTGGCCCACTGCGACAACGGCAACACGTTCACGCTCGAGTTCGTCGACTTCGTCAACACCTGGTCAGTGGTCAGCCGGCTCGCAGGGGGGCCACGCGGCTGCGGTGCGGCCGCGCGACGCCGCGGCGTCGTGTCGACAAATAGGAACTGTTGTGGTTCCTGTGACTTGGATGGATTGGACCCATGCATGAGTGAGAATGTTGGAGCTAGACATTTGGAAAATTGTGTTGTTTGCTCCAAATGATATGATATTGTTACTTTTACCGGAAGTTACGTTTTAGCTCTGCAGCATCGTGCAGTTTAGGGTTTTGCAATGAGCCATATGAAAGAGTCGCGCTCCTTTCAGATAGCAACCTGTATAGTAGTACTTAAACATGACAGCAATTTTGTTCATAGTGGCGTGTCGAAACCGCCGTGGAACAAAACACGGCAAATGTGACGATATTTTCGGTCGCCGGTGTCTTTTCGTGCTGAAAAGATACTCTTTGAGGCCTTTATTTTCGCCACGGTCCGAAAAAGGAAAGTCGTGCGTAATCAGTCTGTGGGCTAACCAGCCCCTGTCCGATATTTTTACTGACCCCTGGGGTACTATTTGTCATATTCATGGTTTGTGGGAAAACTGCAACCCTTGTCTTTTAGTTTCAGCTTGTCACCTTCATGCTTTCCGGCTTGCTTCCGCTCCCCTACCCTCCCCCTCGCTATCCCCCTACTCGTTGCTTTGTTTATTTACTGCTTTCTGTAGATTGATGAAATTTGGCCGTATTAATTTATTTCAGTTTTAAGGTACGCATTTTTTACTTTAATTTCTCAAATTCACATCCGATTTCATATATTTCGATGAAACATATGATGATGTATCAGTCATTTCGCGTGATTGGCCAAGGTTGCATCATTGGCCAGGGGTGACACGGCGTGGCGGTGAGTAAAGACTACAGATTCACGTCCACAAGAGATCCACAAGAGAGGCCCACCTTCTCAACACATGCCAAAACATGGTCTCTTTTCTCTTAAACTCCTTGAAGTAGAGACGGCGATGGAACCGTTTCCGCGGTCTGCTGGCGTGGTCAACATCGCCTCAGCAAAAGGTTCCGCGGAGACCAAATACATTCCCCGGAGACCGGAAGAAGGCTGAAAACAACGTTAAATTAAACAAGCTTACGTGTGTTGTTCAGTGCATTAGCGAGGAGCATTATTCACGTAGATAAGGCAGTAGTATTAGCCTTATTCCTCGGAGAAAAACCAGTAGAATAGAGATATAGTTGGTTTGATATTTCGGCAGCATGCCTTCATCGAAGCAAAAGCAGAAGCAAAAGGCTTCTGCTATAAGTAGAATATTTATATAGCAGAAGCAGGAGACTTCTGCTCAACAGTAGCAGAAGACTTCTGCTATTGTTTCGCTAAAGGCGTGTTGCAGAAATATCAACCCAACTATTTCTCTGTTTTCCTGGTTTTCTCTGAGGAATAAGGCTAATAATACTGTCTTATCTAAACTCACGTTTGGCAGACGGAAATTACGATAGCGCAAAACTAAGAGCCAGAAATGGACCGGAGGATGTGTACTTTCCCCACCCGTCCTTGAGGTTTGACGCGGCGCCTCCCGCGCGCGCCCGTCACTGACCCGGCGCGCCTGCCTGCCTGCCGCAGTCTGGAGAAGGATGAAAGCAAGCGGCCCAAGTACAACACGCTGCTGCAGCACCCGTTCATCCGGCGTTCGGAGGCCGACTCGGTGGACGTGGCCGGCTACGTCAACATCTACCTGAACGCCGTGGCCGACAACCAGCCGCCGGAGGGGGCCGGCTGCTAGACGCCGGCGCGCGACGGCGTTGTGGACGGAGCGACGGCAGGCACCCGCGGCCGCGTCACGGTGCGGTCGTGACGCCGCGCGGGCCGCCAGCCCGCCGGGAGAGGGAGGGAGCGACGGACGGTGCGCCGCCGGCGGTGGCGACTCGACGGGACTCGCCGGAGTGTAACAGTGACGTCAGCAGCCTGGGAGGATGCCGCCGCTTCGGCGGCGGCCGGCGGACGCTCCTGTGGCGGCGCGCGAGCGTCGGGTGCGACGAAGGCCGCCGCGCGGACGCCGCCCGCGACGCTCGGCGGCCGCGAGCAGAGCCGCGGCCTGTGGCGGCGATGGCGTGACTTCCAGGACGTGGTCGGCGGCACGGCGGCGCGGGCGGGCCGCTGGCGTCGCCGTCGTCGCCATGGCAACGGCGGCTGAACGGCGGCGCTCGCGGTGCGGACGGTGGCGCGGCGACGTCCGTCCTTGTCCGCGTGGCGCCCGTCGATGGTCGAAGTCCGGGCCAAGCGGTGTGCGTGGACGATGCGGTCCTGTGGCCGTCGCGCCCGGCCGCGCTGCATGACGTGAACTCTGCTGGAACTGCGCGATCGTGAGCGTGATTTAGATGGTGACCTGACCAGTTCCGTGACATATTTAAACTTATCCCGGGCGGTGGTGCAGACCGTGCGTTAGAGTGGACGGTGGCTACCTTCAGCGCGCGGATGTAGGGCAGTCGCCCACTCCTAGCGGTCGGTGTTGCTCTTTGCTCGGCCGCCGTCCGGGCCGGCCGCCTCGCCCTGCGCCGTAGTCTGCCCGGCTCCGTCAGGACGCGGCCACGTATCGGCTCACCACTGCACCGCTCCGCGCGCCCGGTGCGGCCCGAGCGCACCGGCGCCGGGGCATTTCCGGGCGAGCGGCGGCGGCTCCCCCGCGCCACGCCCTCCGACGTAGTGCGCCGCAGCCGGCCGTTCCCTAGTCGAGCCGCGCCGTAGTGGTCGTGCGTGGTGAACTGGAGTCGGCGCGCGCGCAGCCCCGGCAGGACGGCGTCACGCCGCCGCCGGGTGGCGCCGCGCCGACGCGCGGTGCTCGGCGGTGGACGCGGAGGAGGGAGGGGGCTCGGCCGCTCGCGGGCGGAACCATTCCACGGGCATGCGCGGCCTCTGGCGGCGCGCCGGGCGCCGGGTGACTGTCGTTTCATGTCCTCGGCTGTACCGTACCGCACTGGATCTCGGTCGCGTCGTTGTCTGTGCTGTGGATGGGAGTGATGCCGCCGCGGTCGGGGAGGCGGGGACATGCCCGTGCAGCGCCGCGGGGAAGAGGCGTGCCTCGTCAGATTGCTCAGCGGTGAAACGGGGCATTTTGTGAACTACAGAGGATGTTGGGGCGAGCCGTGCACATGGGAGGATCTGTTTTATCTCGTCTTTTGCGGTTAACAGCAGCGTGGTTTTCTTACAGCCAAGTCAAAGCCCGTTCTTGGCGAAGATTGTAGCGCACTTTCCAGAATGTTTTGTTTTTAGATGACGCGTTCCATCAGCTAAACGCGGCCCAAGCTCCGCTCGAGGCTGGGTGCCGGCCTATTATGGAGCGTGGTGGCGACCGGGCCCCCGCCGGAGGGCGCTCACGAGTGAGACTGCGCGGCGCGTCCCGCCTCCCTCGGCTCGCGTGGCGGCTGATCATACCGCATTGTTTCTGTTTTATCTCCGGTGAGGTGGCAATACGACTGCGTTAAGTCGACAGATGAATACACGCGAGATCACCGGATGAATTCTGAGGATGCCGGGACCCGGCGGGTTTGGGTTGGGCGTGTGGTGCCGTTCGCTGCTGGCATGGAAAAAACATGGCCGGCCAGTCTGCTTCTCTGGCTGTCTCCATTATGTGGTTGTGAGCATCGGCGTTTGTGACGACTCAAGCGTGGTAGGAATGCCAAAGGGGAGGTTTAAGCAGCGCGTCAGTCGGTTCTAGGCGACTTCGTCCCACAGTTTCAGAGAGAGAGAGAGAGAGATAAGACAAAAAGGAAGTTGGCCGTGATCGCACGGCCAGCAAAGGTCTGACGACCATGCTTCGGAAGAGAGGAAATGGCGCGTCTACACGGCTGCTTTCCCCTCCCATATCCACAGGAGGGAACAGAAGCGGAAGCTGGGGATGTATCGCTGGAGGGGGTGGGGGGGGGGGGGGAGACGGAGAATACTTCTCAGTTTGTCCCGGAATGGGTATTTGAACTCCGGACGCCACGCGCAGTTACACATCTTCCAACCGGTTGAAAATTCAGTTGACGGTTATTGTTCTGCAAATCCCAGCCCACCTCTGACTCGTGGCATGACAGGTACGCTCGTCAGCACGCAATAGTCTTGTTCAGCGACCCCCCCCCCCAACAAAAAAAACGGACCAAGCGCCCCCTTCCTCGGCTTGTTTCCTTGGGCTCCGCTGCGTGGGGCTAAGCAACGTCGCTTGTAACTTTTTCGGACTTTTTACATCATGCATATGGCTCAGCATCCATTTCATGTACAATCTACGTCCAGGGAGTTTTCAATGCCTCTTAAGAACGCAGAAAACATGGAATTTGAGTCTATGTAACAATTATTGGACCACCTGCGGCGATTAGGGATGTTGTGGCATCAATGCAAGTTCCTATGGCGATCCGGAGCGAACTGCGTGGGTCAGAAGGCCTTCCGCGTCATGGAGGGGAACAGTGTGATGTGGTATATAATTCTAATGGCCTCCGGATCGACCAGGAGAACCCGCCCCGTGTCGCCAGAAGACATTTCGCGATGGGCCGGAATGGCCCTTCAGCCTTTGGCCGGAACCGGTAATGTGTCCCAGGTGTTCCGCCCCAGAGGCCCCTTGCCCGGAAGGAAATAAGGGGTCTCATTATTAAGTAGAGTGGGTCGAAATGAATTAAAACAACGAACAAGACCATCCCATTTTTGCCTGAGAACGCTCATTTTTGGTAGAACGGATTTCTAAAAAAAAAAGTGCATCAGAAGGTTTGAACATGCCCGCCCGCAACCCCGAGAGCAAGGACGATGGCCTGGGTTGCAGCTTCCTTAAGACCGTCCGGCGTCGACCACTGCAAGTGACAACAGACTCGCAGTGTTACGGGAGGACAGAGTAACACGGCGGACGCCGTGTTGCTGTTTTCTGGACAGATTAATTGTCACAAAAACACGAAAAGTTAAGATTCTTCTGTTACTCTCTCAGTTCCACCACCACCAGCACCACTTCACGGTGCTTTAAGGGCCAATCCGTTCTCATCGTCAGGTTAAGAAGAGCACACATGAATTATGCCCCCAGACTGCCTTCTAAATGTACGATTTGATGCCCTGAAGCGTTGAAATGTACTTTTTCCGAAGTGGCATGATCTTCGTCCACCCGTTGACCAGGGCTCAATATTGACAACTGGGCGAACGCCGGGCGGTCTACGGGGACTGCAACGCCTGGCGTCGAGGTTTTAGTTACAAAGATTTACGAGCGCGCATGTTACATTACAACCACGTTACATAGGTTGTATCACTTATCGATTCTGGCTGAGTGTCAAATCTTTCCAGACAAACATGGCTTGGCCATGTTACTACACGTTGTTAACCACTCGATCTACAATCAAATTTTCGTCTTTAAATTTCGGTCAAACATATCCATCTACAACCTACCTTCGCGCTGTACTTGATGTCTGAAGAACCCAGATGAAAATTCTTGGAATTTCGCTTCCCCAGGAAAGACAATGTTGAAGTGGACGAATCGTCTTGGAAATTTGGATAGCCTTATTTGCGGAATAACAGGTGAGTCGAGTGGGCAAGATTGTTGCAATAATGAGAAACAGCTCTGAATGCATATATAGCATAGCAGCCATGGCATTTCAGTAAATACCGGTAACAACCTCCGTCTTTACCCCCCTCCCCCCGGTCATAAGGCTTCTTTTCCAAAAACAAATTCTGAACTACGCCCCTCAGCTTGGCCCCCACTTTTTGAAACGTTCCTTCTCCTGTGCTGCCATGGGAGGGGGGGGGGGGGGGCGCAAGCGAGCAATGTGGGAGGTGGGAGGCCATTGATGTGTCGTTCGACCCAGTCAGCAGCAATGCGGTCATCGCCGGCGCTAGGAGGAGCCAACGGGAGGCGTCCATGGGTCAATATGCCGACCAATCCAGGCCCTCACAACCGACCGGATCTACGACCTTGAGACTGGATCAGCCGCGTACATGGGCCAGGCCAGTGTGCCATTGCCCTGGGGCAGGCCATTGGTATATACGCGAATACTCCCGTAACTTCCCGTGACTGGCATAATTCACCGAGCCATGAGTCACATCTCTGTGTAGGCATAAAATCGGACGAGTATATGACGTCATTTTTACTCTTTACGCGGGCATTTGAAAAATCCCCTGCACGTGGTGCGATATAATTAATCTATAAAAACTTTGAGAATCTAGCATGCCCCAATGTGGCATGCCATTAATTGAAATTCAGCAATATGCGCGCTTTGTTATTACTCGTTGCGTAAACGGAATATTTAACCAAAATTATGGTCGTTTACAAAATATAATGTATCCAGTTGCTTGATTTAAGTACAAATCAGCCTAATTTTATTGTGTGCGTTTAAATATCAGAGACGTTAACAAATCAGCGTGCATGGTTGGGTGAGTTAACAATCTGATGACGTCAAATTTGCCGATATGTGGCTAATCGATGATACATTCCAGAGCCCGCAGCCTTGCTGCGCCGTTTTGCTTATAATCCAGTGCGTGCTATCTGTTCGCTGCTGTCGTTCGCTAGGGGTACTGGAGTGTAAGTTCGGGCGGGGTGCTGGCATGGAATATTGCCGAGTTACAGGCATTTTGTGGACCTGGGCGAAGTAACTACGGGCTGTGGAGTCCCAAGGCTTGCAGCCAACAGCTGAAGTTACTGATCGTTGAAGTAAACAGGAGGCGGCGAGCCGTCAAGAAGGCACAAAGAAGTTCCATTCCGTGTGGTGCAGCTGCTGCACAGCTGCGTTGGTGGGAATTTATTAACGTGGCCATGGAATTTCCTGATCTGGGAAGCACTGCTCCCAAAGCTCGTGCAGGCAGATTGATTTTTTGGCCTGTGAAATGTGATGCATGCCAGAACATTTTCTGCAAAGACCACTTCACTTATAGCCAGCACCAGTGCCCCTCTGCATACAAGAAAAAAATGTTCAGGTGCCTGTGTGCCCACTGTGGCAGTGCTCCTGTTCCAATTGCAAG